TGTGTGTACAATCGGTTCTGCTCTCTGTGCCCCCATGGCGAATGGATGGTCGATTCTTGTTCTCTTGTCAATCTGGCGTTTCTTCCTTGGAATCGGTATTGGTGGGGACTACCCCATGTCTGCCATTATTACTTCCGAGTTTGCAAACGTGAGATACCGTGGAATGATGATTTCCGCTGTGTTTGCCATGCAAGGAGTGGGTATTATGGTTGGAGGTATTGTCTACATTGCTACCTTGGCGGCTATGCAAGCGCAGATTCAGTCGGACTACACGGTTTTGGATTCTGTTTGGCGCATTGCTCTTGGTTTTGGTGCTCTTCCTGCTCTTGGTGCTGTTTATTTCCGTTTGACTATTCCAGAAACTCCTCGTTTCACGGTTGATGGTATGTGGCCTCTTTCTATCATTAAATGGAAGGTTCTTGTTCATTATTTGTTTCACAGTCATTGGTGACACGGATAAGGGTCTTTCTGACGTTGACAGAGTCCTTGCCATGAATTCAGTTTCCAACATTGCCTCCAACTGGAGACAAGAAGAAGTTGCGACCGCCAAAATTGCTGTTAGACAAGGAGACTTTTTCACCTACTTTGGTAAATGGAAGAACATGAAGACTCTTATTGGTACATGCTACTGTTGGTTCTCTCTCGACGTCGCTTGGTACGGTCTTGCCCTCAACCAGTCTACTGTCCTGACTCTGATCAATTTCAACGGACCTGCCAAGATTTCAGTGTCTTCCACGGTTAACGGAACTACTACGGTTTCCAAGATTACTCCACCTGTCGACATTTGGAACTTGTTCTACCAAGTCGCTGTTGGAAACTTGATTGTGGCCTTCTGTGGAACTGTTCCAGGCTACTGGTTCACTGTCGCTCTTGTTGAAAAGCTGGGTCGTAAGCCAATTCAATACTTTGGATTCTTGGTCATCACCATCTGTTTGATTGTCTTGGCCGTCTTCTGGGATACTCTATCCACACAACAAGTTCCCTTCTTGGTTATCTTCACAATTGCACAATTCTTCTTCCAGTTTGGGCCAAACACAACAACGTTTGTGATTCCTGGTGAAGTATTCCCAACGCGATTCAGATCCACTGGTCACGGTCTATCTGCCGCTGCTGGAAAGTGCGGTGCTATCATCGGTATCCAAGCCGTCGGACCCTTCTTCTCAAGTAATACTGTAATTGTTCTTTATGCGTTTGCCGGAATCATGTTTTCTGGACTTCTCGCCACCTGGTTGGTTCCGGAAACCAAAGGAAAGACACTCGAAGAGCTTTCCAACGAAGATGACGTCATTGTCTTTTGAATCTAGATTTCTGTTTTCTGTTTTCCCCTTCCTTTTGTTATGTTCGATTATTGTTTGTTATAAGTATAGAAAAACAGAATAAACACTGATGCATGTAGAATTTCTTCCAGTTGAAAAACACCACTCCTGATTAACTGAGTAGCAATTTCAATTTCCCAAATCAAATGAGCTGTAATGCAAATCAATCTTTATGGGCTTGATTCTGCGTGGCCCTCTTGAGAATCGTGTTATGGATGATTCCTTGTTAGTGGTGTTGTCCATCTGAGAAAAAGTGGTGTTGTCCATCTGCGAAAAGGTGATCGGACCAGTGAGTTGACCCAAGTTGATATAATGTACCTTATTTTCAACCGCACTTTCGCATTTGAAAGGGTGCGTGCACCTCCTGGAAAATTCATGGCGAAATGAGTATCAAAGATGAGTTTGAACTTACGCGTTAATTGAATTGGGAAAAGACTTTCTAGTTTAGGGCATTCAGTTCCTTCAGTTTCCAATATCATTTGAAGGCTTGCAACGATCTCATTACCAAAATTCGAAGTTGAAAATTTTGTAAAATTACAAGTTAAACAGAGGCGTGTGCCTTCAAGAGAGGAAAGAGTATATAAAGCACTTCGCGCTCTTCTCTTAATGCTTATAACAGCCTTCAACAACAAAACACAACAAAGATGCCTCCAGTTCCTATGCCTGTTAACTCCTTCACCTGGATCTTCGGTCTGACCGTTGCATTCTCGTTCCTCGATGCCTACGCCATCGGTGCCAATGATGTTGCCAACTCCTTTGCTACATCTGTCGGTTCCCGTTCCCTTAAGTTGTGGCAAGCTTGCTGCATTGCTATCTTCACTGAGTTCATTGGTGCTATTGCTTTGGGTGCTTCTACTACTGGTACCATCAAGGATGGAATCATCGCTCTCAGCATGTTCGACAAGCGTCAAGATCTTTTGATGGCTGCCTTTATGTGTGCCCTCATTGGTTCTTCCACTTGGGTCATGATTGCTACTCGTTTTGGTTGGCCAGTTTCTACTACTCACTCCATTGTTGGTGCTCTTATCGGTGTGGGTATCTCTGCTTTCGGAACTGACGCTGTTAACTGGGCTTGGGATGGAAAGGGTGTTGCTCAAATTGTTGCTTCTTGGTTGATTTCCCCAGCCGTTGCTGCCATTCTCGCTGCCTTGATCTATGGACTCACTCGCCAATTTGTTCTCAAGGCCAAGAACCCACTCCGTGCTGGTATCTACGCTATTCCATTCTACTTCACTATTACCACCTTCATTGTTGCCTTCTACGTTGTCTCCAAGAACGGAAAGTCTACCCTCAAGATCACTGCCAACACTTTTGGAGGCCCACTTACTGTCGCGGGTGACGTTGCTCTTTGCATGGGAATTGTCGGAGGTCTTGCCGGTTTCGTTCTCCTTGTCTGTGTTGGTTTGGCCATTCCATACTTCATCCGTAAGCTTGAAAAGGAAGAAGACCTCAAGTGGTACCACTTCTTCTACATCATCTTTGTTCCAACCCAGCCAAAGAACGAGAAGCTTGAACACGACCTCAAGGTCCAATTCACCCCACACTTGCTCGAAGATGGTGAAAAGGTTGTTGCCAACGCCGATGTTGAACAAAAGGTGCACGTTGCTGAAGGCCAAACTGATTCCAAGACTGTTATCGGTACCATCAAGGGAGGACTTATGGGAACTTACGAACTTGCCAAGAAGGGTCTCTTCCTTGACGTTGCTTCAGTCCAATCCGAAAACGCCCAGGCTGCTCACGGTCACGCTACTTTGTACGACAACAAGGTTGAATTCTTGTTCTCCTTCCTCCAAGTTATGACTGCGTCCTTCGCCTCCTTTGCTCACGGTTCCAACGATGTTGCCAACGCTATCGGTCCACTTGCCGCTGTCTACGACTTGTGGACCACTGGTCAAGTCGCCAAGAACGCTAACGTTCAAACCTGGATGTTGGCTATGGGAGGTATCGCTATTGACTTGGGTCTTGCTCTCTACGGTTGGAGAATCATGATCAACTTGGGTAACAACTTGACCTACCACTCCCCATCCCGTGGTTTTGCCATGGAGCTTGGTGCTGCCTTGTCTGTCATCTCTGCCTCTTTCTTGGCTCTCCCAGTCTCCACCACCCAATGCATTGTCGGTGCTACCATTGGTGTTGGTCTCATGAACGGAACTGCTAAGGCTATTAACTGGAAGATGGTTTCTTGGACTTTGTTCTCCTGGTTGCTCACCCTTCCAGTCGCCGGTGTCTCCGCTGGATGCCTCTACGCGCTCCTCACCCGTGGACCAAGCTTCAACAAGTAAATCGGGAACTTATATAATACGTGTTTTGTAGATTTGTTAAAGGAACAATAGAGTAAATTTGTGTTAAGTGATATTCCTTAGACTTCTCTTAAATACTTCATGATATTTGTGTCTCCCTTATCAATTGGCACGTTGTAATGAGACTGGAAGCATTGAATCGCCCCAAGGCGATATTTGACTCCTTATGTCAATTGTCGGCATCTTTCTCCACACTTGCACAATATCATCCCACGAATCATGTGTGACATTTACTATGAAACTCGTATTGTAATTAACCAGAGCCCAGTTATTCATCCAAACTGCCTTATAAGTCCAAAGTGCCCATAGAGGAATTTTGGAACTGAGTTTGTCCATGTGATTGACGCCCCTTTGAGAATCGGAAGGATCAGCAAAGTGCCACTCACTAATAAAGTAGGGAACGGGATAATTCTCTTTCACTTTGTCTTGAACATTTGCAATGAATCCGGAAATGGTTTGCTGACCCTCATATGTATGAAATGCGTAGACTACATTCTCCCACCCGTATTGCGAAGGATGGATACGATCTACTGAGAAGTATCGAATGAAGATGCGTTTTCGATCCTCTTTCCGCACGGCAGAGTAAAGCACTTGAGATAAGGAGATTTCCATATGATGCGGCCACTTCATTCGCTCCTTCAATACCAAGAATTCCAGGGACATTCTTAACGTGGCGCGTCAAATTCGACAGAAAATCAGCGGCTTTAGACCGATGTAGTATACACATGGCTCGTTGCTCTGTCGACAATTTGGGATCATTCTGAGATATGGCCTCGAACCATACATCATATCCAAACCAATTGTGAAGGTCCAAAACAACATAGAGCCCATTTGCGGTAATATTTCCAATAGCCCAGTCCAACCTTGTGAAATCAATCTCGCCTGTCGAATCTCGTATCCAAGTTCCGTTTTTCCATTGAAAGTTTCGATAATGTAGCGGCAATCGAACCATATTGAAACCCATTGAATTTATGAGATCAAAGTCTTGTATAGACATTGCGTGGTCAATGTAGATGTTCATGAGTTCACGGGTCTTTGCTTCACCCCACCGAGTGTCACTTTGGTTAAAGAAGGCAAATTCCACGCCGTCGGGTTTGATCCCACCAAATTGATTGTTGAGTGTGAACCATGTTCCGAGATTCACTCCGCGGCCATAGAATAAAGACCCGTTGGGGAAGCGGATGTTTGAACCATCCACAACAAGGTGGGGCAGCGGTTCCAAGGTGTTGCCAGAAGCTGCGCGTCCACCAGTGGTCGCAGTTAAAGGAACGACAGCTACGGCAAAGAATATGGCAACGAGGAGCATCAGCAGGAAAGACACGGCCAAGCTAACAGATGTAACAGATGCCATTAAACTAAAAAATGTTTTTAATGAGCAAGAAAATGCCCCCTAGCGGGATTGAACCGCTGGCCTTGTCCTTACGAGGGAGACGCTCTGCCACTGAGCTAAAGGGGCTTGCTATCTTCAATATAGTAATTACTTAAGATCTCAAAATATTTCCAGTGCTTCTGTTATTTGTTTTTATTGCCAACATATCAAGAAGTCTATCAGGAACAACCCGCGATTTCCTAGCTCTGACATACAATGGCTTCAAACTCTAATGCGTTTGTTGTATGCGTATTTGGTCTATGGCGTTCAACCGGCCGTTATGACCTTTCATGTCTTTGCTCTGTGCTGCTTGTTCTTTGGTGCGCCCGAGGTAATTTTTGCAGTTTTTTTTCCTAGCTGTTTTTTGAGAAAACAGAAGAAGTTGCAGGTGGTTCGAAATGTCGAACGCTTAAGCGGAGGCGGACCTCGCCGCGGAGTGGTTGTGTCTGAGACTTCAGACTTCAGAAATTGAAGGACAACAATTTGAAGGTGTGAATGCGGCGCGATTGTTGGAGGGTAGATTTGAGGAAGCTCCGTTGTTGAGTGTGATGGACTTGGGTGATGATCCTGTACCAATGTATTCTGAGTAAACTGATATCTTTCCATTGTTTGCACCATTAATAATATTGAAATAAATAAGATGAAGTCAGCCTTTGGAACACACGCGTCAATCGCATCATCCAACAGGCATAAAAAGAACCACGGAAATTTCAAATCAAAACAAAGCACCAAAATGACCAAAACAAACGACAAGATCATTCTCTACACAAACCACGGTTGTCCCTGGGCCCACAGAGCACACATTGCGCTGAACGAACTCGGTCTTGACTTTGAAGAAGTCATCATTGATCTCACCATCCCAAGAGCGGAACGCACGGAATACCTCAAGATCAACCCCCGCGGCCTTGTTCCAACTCTCTCTTGGAATGGAGAAATAATTCCAGAGTCCGGAATCGTTGCTCAATTCTTGGCCGATGCTTATCCCACTTCTGGCTTGGTCAAACCATCCAACACACCCGACGGTGCCTTACAGCGTGCCAAGTACACTGTGTTTGTGGATGCCTTCTTTTCCAAGTTCCAAGCTGAGCTGTTCAAGTTCTGGAGTGTCAAGACGGATGCCGAAGCGCTGCCAGTCTTTGAGGCAGCAGTCGCTGTTCTTGCCTTGGAAATTGAGCCACGCTTGGAGCATTTGACTGAAGAGAAGCCGTACTTTGGCGGAAGCGAGAAACTGACTCTGGTTGAAGTCCTTACTGGCTCGTTCCTTGTCCGCCTTGTCGCGTCGCTGCGGGCTGGAATTTACCCCGCGTCATTCCAAACTCAACTGGCAGAAAAGACTCCGCGCTTCTGGAAATGGGCGCAGCTTGTTTCAGTGCATCCAAGTGTCACAAGCATCTTTGACGAAGAAAAGATTGTTGGCTACACAAAGGCTCGTTTGGAAAAGGCTCGCGCGTCTGCGTGATTTAATTTCCGTCGTTGAATGAATAAAAGCATGAAGTTTTAAAAGAGATCATGTTTAAAGTCTATCTAAATATTCAATAAAATAGTTCAAAATACATATTATTTACGACAATGTCAGACGGCGGCCCAATCAACCTCGCGGACCTTCCGCTTCAACAGCTGCAAGCCGTCAAAAACCAAATGGACGAAGTAAGCAGAGGAAACTGATGGAAGCATTGTGAGGGGGCTGATGGTGTGCAATGTGGTGAATTAGGAAATCCAACACTTGACTCAATCATACGCACAACTGAAGCAAGCCCAAGTCAAATTCAGTGATTCAATTGAAAGTCTGAATTCTATTGATGGACGGAAGGATGGTAAGAGGGCCTGGAGGGGCGTAGTTGTTTGTGACCTAAGCATCGAAAACAAACAGAGAAAATCCTGATTCCTTTAACAAGCTCACTATACGTGCCTGGAACTCTATCAGATGTTTCGAGAGTGATTGTCGATATTGGTACTGGATACATGATTGATAAGGTTTGGGTTGCGCTCCTCAGCGCTTTTAAGCGCTCGATGCTAAAATGCCCGACACAATATCCGTTACTACCTTTCCTACTCTGTGAAATTTCCAATAGTCTATTCCTGATGCAAAGGAGTTTTACAAAACCAAAGTCGCATTCTTGAAGCAAAACTTGGAAGGATTGCAGGAAACAATCACGCAGAGAGAGAATCAGTACAAGGGTAAGAATTTATATCCTTCGTCAAATGAATGGTGGCTCATATTTTTATGTGGTTCTTCAGTCTTGATTGATGTCATGAACATGAAGATGACTGAAGCGCAGCAGCAACAACAAGCTGCAGCCGCCGCAGCAAAGAAGTAGCCAAAGAAGTCAGGAAGAAATAAACTTATTGTAAAAGTGATTTTTATTTGATGCTCTTCGTGAAAGAAGCAATACATCGAGTGAGAAAAAAAAGCGGCCATACATGAAGAGACAAGAATAAAACAAAGTGATCATTCTTAAAGACCTGCAGCCGCTGAAACACTTCGGAGCTTTGCGTATACGTCTGGGTACATTTTGGACACATACAACTGAGCAGCACAAGCCTGTGATATAAAGCGAAGCGATTTAATTGACTGAAAATGGCAAAAAAAAAGTAATGCTTTCACCTCGCGGCAAGAAATGGCATTCACGAGTTCCGGTTCTGTGCGGGTAACCTTGATGGCAGAATCATAAGCGGCCAAGGCATCTTCCAGACGGTTTTGATGAATCAACAACTGCGCAAGTTGAATGTATGCAATGTCACAGGTAGGATCCACTTCAGCTGCTTGAACACAGAACTTTTCGGCGTTTTCAGCATCGCCCTTTGATTGCAAGTACAGGATTGCTGTATTATCGAAGGAAATATTAACAAAAAATCCACATTAAAAGGGAATAAAAATGCAGACTTACATTTGTTGATGAATGGCAATGGTGACGAACCATCCATCTCAATCGCCTTGTCGAAATACCGCTCAGCATCCTCAAACCGCCCCATATCCAACAATACTTCTCCATAATAGTTGTAAACTTCAGGAACCTCACTAAACTTCTTCAATGCCTTCAAAAATGTTTTTTCAGAGGTTCCGATTTCTCCACTCTTGTATTGTGCAACGGCAAGCTGAATATGGGCGTAAACAAAGTCATTATCGAGTTCCAAGGACTTTTGGTAGTCCAAAATAGCAGCAGAGACATCTCCAGTGAGGAATCGGACTTGTCCACGATGGTAGTAGAGGTCTGGGTTGGTGCTTGAGACGGATTCGGCCTTTTCGTATTCTCGAACGGCTGAATCGAGATCTTGACGTTCCATAAAGATTGATGCGCGTTTAATGAGAGTGTTCATGTTGGTTGGGTCAAGGCGGAGAGACGTGTCCAAATGCTGCATGGCGGTGGGAACTTGATAAATAAGGGGGATAAATTAGTAATGCAGAACTACGCGAAGAAAAAAAAAAAGAACTCAACTGTCTCCCTTCAGGAATGAAAAAGTTCCAAGAGTGTTTAAGGCAAATGCACGAATCTTGTCGCTGCTCATTTCGGCTTGAAGAGCGTCGCCGACCAGTTCAATGGCGCGTTCCCAGTCTTTGGCGAGGATTGATTCATAAGCTTTATGCAATAGAGCATCACCAGCAAGGTCGGAGGGGAATTCGGCAGCGACCGATGCACCAAAGTTCTTGGGACGGAACGAATCCATGTAGGCTAAACAAAATCAAGAGGGAGCGGATGAGTACTAGTACAAAAGCAAAAGAGCCCCACCCTTGACAAAAGTCTCAGAAGGCAGACGAGCAACTTTAGTTTCCATTGCCTTTGTTGCCTTGGCGGTCCCGACATCCTTCAAAATACGATCCGTGGTTGTAATACTGCTCTCCTTCTTGAACTCTTCCAACATGCAAATGGCAGTGTAATCATTCAAAGCCTTTTCCAAATCCCCAGTTGCACTGTATGCTTGAGCACGACGGTAAATAGCCTTGATGTAGCGAGGATCCAATGCGAGGGCAGAGTCACAATCAGAAATCGTCAAGGTGTGGTTGTCCAAGTTTGAATAACAAGCCGCTCGGTTGGCAAAAAAGACAGGGTCCGTGTTGTTGAGGGCGATGGCTTTGGTGTAGTATTCAATCGCTTCGGAGTACTTCTTTTCGCCAAAGAGACGGTTTCCAATAGTTTTGGCTTCTTTGGCCAGAGTTTCAGCGTCTTTTTCCTGTTGTTTACGTTTTGGTAAGGCCCTTCACACATGCAACGAATACACAAGTAAAACAAGTAACCTCCACGACGGCAGCAACAGCTTTAGCAGAATCATTCAAGGCTGGTGCAACTTGCGGCTTCAATCTTTGCATCGTCTGCTGCGATCTCCTTAGCGGCTTCCTTTGGCTTTGCAACTGTTGGGACTGACTTCAACCACATGTACCCTGAGCAGACATCTCTTTTTTTAAAAGACAAAAAATACCTTCAGGAACACTTGCATCGATCGACTCCTTCGATTCAGATTTCGCCAGGCCCTTAGTGGCAGGGACCTTGACCTTCTTGGCCTTCTTTGCAGAAGTGGATGAAGATGAGGAGGCCAGGATCCACACGCCAACAGCAACTGCTGCCACTGAAACTGCTGCAACGAATGCGTTCTTTGGAGTCAACAGCGGGTTGGTTGAAAGGTCACTCATTTTTTCCAGTAACAAAAAGTGAAAAGGAGGGTGAGTCACCCTCGCGAGATACTGTTAACACTTAGTTTAGACTTGTGACGTGGTTTTCGCTTTCTGGGGGAGAGCAGATTTTCCACCTCTAGTGCCGTAAATTAGGATTGTCAATACTCAACCTTGTCATTGTGCTCTATATAGAGGGATCAAGCGCTTTTTCTTTACTCCGCTTGATTGTCGCGCTCGTCTTAAAGGAGTATCCACTGAAATGGATGAAAGAATGTTGAAGGCGATGAAGAATGCCGGTTATATTGAGTGGTTTGGGGCAGCAATATTTCCTCATTGGTTACAACATCACTACATCATCGATTCCAGGAGAAGTACAATTCAAATGCAAGCGAAGCATATAGAAGGATCCGAATCAGATAATAGCTTTCTCAAGAAAACAAATCTCGTTGTAAATCGAGTTTTATTTACACAGTTGGCC